AAGCCCTATATAGGAAGACTTGGAGAGGGAAGGGATAGTTCTTAGGCTGTGTGTTTTAAAATTAACTGCATTTTGATTATTTTTATATACTTATTGGCCCTGAGGAAGTCAACCAAGGGAAAAGAAATGCACTATACCCCTTATTATCTATTTAATTTAATTTTTATTGTTTGTGAATTTATCAACACTAAACCTTTTTCAATACCAGCCTGGATCCTTGTGATTTTACCCAGTTCTGGCGTAAATAAGGGTGAACAAGGTTCTGGTCCTACATCGAGGGATGCACCTTTCACTATGTTGCTCATTCGTTTATAGATTCACAGCTGTATTCCAATTTTTATACATACATTTGCTGCTAAAAGAGTTACCATCTGGGAAGGTATCATGGGAAGCTGTATATTTACAAGTTGAAGGACCAGTCCACACCCCGAAAGCACTTCAGTTTACGGAGTATAATATTTTAACCCCAGTTTATACAAGTGCTGATTTCTTAGAGAAATCTGCACTTTTATAAATTAACTAGGGAACATCAATCAAAGGGCCAGGGAGGTTTGCAACCTCCTTCCATTAGCTCATCTACTTGATTATGCCTGCTTCCTCCAACCCACACAGATCTCAGGCCAGCTCCTCCAAACCTCAGACCAGACATGCACGCTTGAATGAGCCGGAGCACACATACAGCAGTTCACATGTGTCCATAAGCTGGCACATGTGGGCCTGTGGGCCTTCTGGGAAAAAAGAGAGGACTTGCTAAGACTGCAGTTTATATCTAATGGCATTGGAAATAACCTGTAGTAGGTTTACGATTGCCTAAGAGGGTTTAGGAATAGATGGTGTTGAGTCCTATTCTAGGCATTGGGGAGTTTAGCTTTCAAGGATATTAGCACCCACAATCCTAACCCAGAGTATATCTCTCTAACATTAAACACTCCTTTAAATCCCTTTTGTGCAGTCTTTCTCAAGTTGTATCAATGATTAGCAAGGACTGAATAACTCCCATCTATTCTTACTTCATAGCATTCACTTCTTGAGTTCGGTGTGACCTCTCATGTAACATCCTGCAGTAATGGGATAATAGTATACCTTGCCAGCAATACCCAATACACTTTGAACACTAAATTCCCCTAACCCAAATCCTAAGTACCTCTACTTCCAACTTTATACCTAAGCGTCTTTTACAACAGTGCATTTGTATTGACACTGAACTTTTGCGAATACAGCAACATTTTAGGTTTGCTCAAATTGCGCAATATTTAAATTTGTTGTTTCCATGGCATTGTTTTAAATTTACAAGATTTCTGTTAAATACTCTGTTATAAGTTTGCCAATACTTTCTTTACTAGTAAAATAATATAGTCTGAAGCATAAGCTCTTTTTCTGTGGAGTAAATTATACTTACACATGCTATATTTTAAAAAGTATGGGAATGGTATCTGTGTATCTGTCTATCTGCAAAATGTTATATGAGCTGTGTTGTGATTTAGTAAATATTTTTTTCTTGGTTTGATATGTTTAGTTTGCAATTGCTTTAGCAGGTTTTTTTAGAGCTTTTCTTAAAAAAACATTTTTCTGCTTTTCCGTGCTAAATTTCATGTACTTCCATGGTCACGCACCTCTGTGCATGGAAACATGTTAAACATAACATAACATAACTAATTCTTTCAGTTAAGAGGCATTATATTTATTTTACAGTGTTTTGCTTCACTTAGAAACAGAAACCTAGCTTCATTCAGAACAAAATTAAATTTTAAGGGAAAGATAATTTTCTGCTAATTTTCAAAGGGGTTAAATAAAGTGAAATGAAAAAGCAATGATCTAGGAATAAGTGTGTACAGTGCATTTCATTAGGGCACCAAGATAAATTTTTGATATATATATATACATATATGTATATTGTCCAGTAGACAATATTGGCATCTTGTCTACTGGACTAATATGGTTAATCCAACCTACACTATATATATATATATATATATATATGTACATATATGTTAATAATTGGTTATAATATATTATTTTACAACAAGCCCTAAATGTTCTTAATGTTATGTTTATAATTTGTTAACAAATTTTTTTTTTTTTAAAAGCAGTAACTTTGAAAAACGACATAGCAGAAATGTAAAAATTACCCAAACTTGTTCATAACCGGACACCTCAAGCACCATAACAATTTTATCTCATTAAAGTTGTTTTGGTGTATGGAGGTCCTGGATATCTTATTTTCACCCCTTAATGACCAATTGACTTTTAAAGGTACCTGCAGGGCTAGATCGGTGGTCATATTAGGGAGCCCCAAGTTACATTAATTACAGTTAGGGATTGGAGGCCTGTTCAATATACAGGTGACACAGATAGCGTCGCTTACCAAATCACATCTGCAGTGAGTACACAAAGAGAAATGTCCCTCAAACTCATGGCAAATGTATACATGTTTAAATAAACAACTCCCTCTACCCCCTTTATTTCTCTTCTCTCTCTCTCTCTCTTCTCTCTCCTTTCTCCTCAACGTATGTCTTCTGTACTTGTAGCTCTTTCTTTATTCTTACCTCTTTATTAGACTCCTACCTCTCTGGAATGACCATTGGAAGAGGTGTCATGAGTAGTGCTGGCACTTTTAGCGCGCTGAAATAAGTGCCTTATGCTTGGGTTGACACCAATCCCAATCTCGGTGGCCCGAGTGGTTGTGAGGTTGTGGGAGGAGATCTTCTCCATGACTGTTATCTTTTTCTTTTCTTTTTTTGATTTTTCAAACTATTCTTTGAAAACAGTATTCAAAATCCTATGCTATGTCTACATACTTTCAATTGGGAATCTTGTTATGTACCTATTTCATGAACAACTCTTTAACCACACTGTCTATTTCAAACAAACAAAAATACTAAAAAACATTTTGATATTAATAAAGATTGTAATGAATAAATAAATAAATAAGTAAATGGTCCCAATTAAATAGCCCAAGGGAACTACAAATACATACTAGCAGTTGTGTAGCAAATTATGATTCTATGACTACTAGTAGCATGCCAACTTGTGCTAATTTTAAAACTGTTCACTCTTTGCAATAACTTTTTAAATTATTTGAAATTCTAGACATATTGGGCATTTTAACAACCAGGACTAACTAGTAAATCTATTTTGAGTTCTTTTTCTTTAGTTGCACTTGTTGTGTAGAAATTATTAAATGCAAAACTGAGAAACATTTGTTTTGTTTAGGTTTTTAAATTATTTCCATATAATATATTTTTTACATGTGATATTGTATTCATATTTAATATTGTGTTATGTATATAAATACAGTATCAAAAGAAAACCACATTTCTCATTTAAAATTAGATATAATAATAATAATGTATGGGTGCACGTAAACAGGGAGGGGTGTGGTAGAACAAATTTGTCAAAAAGGCCTTAGTTACAAACGCCTTGGTCACATCTCAAAAGGGACTTAGTCCTTAATAGGGTTAAGAAGTTAAACTGTTTACATATACTTTAACCATAAAGTGCTCTAAGACCGTGCTCTTCAACCCTCTCCTCAAGGCACACCTAACAGTCCAGAATTTAGGGATTACCCAGGTGTGTCTAAGGTGTTTAGAAAAAGAAAAAAACACCCTAGAATCTAAGGTGTTTTTATTTATTATTTTTTTTAATTTATTTTTTTAAACACCTTAGTAAACACTCGGGTAATCACTAAATTCTGGACTGTTAGGTGTGATACATAAATGAGAAAAGAAAAGTAAAACAAGGATTAGTTAGATTAAAAACAAAAGAAGGAAGGTATGTAGAAGAGGATAAAGGTCAGGCTGACTGCCTCAATGAATATTTTTGTTCTGTATTTACAGAAGAAAATGAAGGAAAGGGACCTCAGTTGAGAAAAAGGATAAATGAGTCATTTATTACACGTGAGTTTACAGAGGAAGAGGTTCTATTTCAACCGTCAAAAGTAAAGACAAATAAGTCAATGGGACCTGATGGAATACACCCAAAGCTATTAAAAGAGCTTAGTGGTGTACTAGCAAAACCATTAATAGATTTATTTAACCAATCATTGTTAACAGGAGTAGTCCCAGAAGATTGGAAGTTAGCGAATGTTGTGCCCATTTACAAGAAAGGTAATAGGGAGGAGTCGGGCAACTATAGGCCAGTAAGCCTTACTTCAGTAGTGGGAAAAGTGATGGAAACCATGTTAAAGGATAGGATTGATGAACATCTAAAAACACATGGATTTCAAGATCAGAGACAACATGGGTTTACTTCAGGGAGATCATGCCAAACTAATCTTATTGATTTTTTTGATTGGGTAACTAAAATTATAGATCAGGGTGGTGCAGTAGACATTGCTTACCTAGATTTTAGTAAGGCTTTTGACACTGTTGCACATAGCTTATCAATAAACTGCAATCTTTAAGTTTGGATTCCAATATTGTTGAATGGGTAAGGCAGTGGCTGAGTGACAGGCACCAGAGGGTTGTAGTTAATGGAATATATTCGAAGCTTTGACTTGTCACCAGTGGGGTACCTCAGGGATCTGTACTTGGACCCATTCTCTTTAATATTTTTATTAGTGATATTGTAGAAGGTCTTGATGGTAAGGTATGTCTTTTTGCTGATGATACTAAGATATGTAACATGGTTGATGTTCCAGGAGGGATAAGCCAAATGACAAATGATTTAGGTAAACTAGAAAAATGGTCAGAATTGTGGCAACTGACATTTAATGTGGATAAGTGCAAGATAATGCATCTTGGACGTAAAACCCAAGGGCAGAGTACAGAATATTTGATAGCGTCCTAACCTCAACATCTGAGGAAAGGGATTTAGGGGTGATTATTTCTGATGACTTAAAGGTAGGCAGACAATGTAATAGAGCAGCAGATAATGCTAGCAGAATGCTTGGTTGTATAGGGAGAGGCATTAGCAGTAGAAAGAGAGAAGTGCTCATGCCATTAAACAGAACACTGGTGAGACCTCACTTGGAGTATTGTACACAGTACTGGAGACCGTATCTTCAGAAGGATATTGATACCTTAGAGAGGGTTCAGAGAAGGGCTACTAAACTGGTTCATGGATTGCGGGATAAAATTTACCAGGAAAGGTTAAAGGATCTTAACATGTATAGTTTGGAGGAAAGACGAGACAGGGGGGATATGATAGAAACATTTAAATATATAAAGGGAATCAACACTGTAAAGGAGGAGACTATATTTAAAAGAAGAAAAACTACCACAACAAGAGGACAGTCTTAAATTAGAGGGACAAAGGTTTAAAAAATAATATCAGGAAGTATTACTTTACTGAGAGGGTAGTGGATGCATGGAATAGCCTTCCAGCTGAAATGGTAGAGGTTAACACAGTAAAGGAGTTTAAGCATGCATGGGATAGGCATAAGGCTATCCTAACTATAAGATAAGGCTAGGGACTAATGAAAGTTTTTAGAAAATTGGGCAGACTAGATGGGCCGAATGGTTCTTATCTGCCGTCACATTCTATGTTTCTATGTTTCTATGTTTCTATGTTTCTATGTGTCTTGAGGAGAGGGTTGAGGAGCACTGCTCTAATATGACTGCCACCCACTAGTCCCCTGTCTTCTACTCTGGCTTCAAAGACTTGCACTGTTGCACTGGATGTTGTGTCTCTCAGTCTGGAAACGTCAATTAGAAAAGTATATAAGGTGTTTGATCAGAATTTTTTTGGGGGGAGGGGGGAGGGGTTAAATCATTCTTAAAATGTTAGGATGAGTATGCTTCACAATTTAATTGATTTCTCCATTTGCTAGATTATATGTATATATGTCAAGTTAAATATACTTACTTTGAGATTTAGATGGTTCACTTTGTCAATAAGCTGTGATTATATGGCAAATGTAGTTTTAATGTGATATTAATGATTACATTTTAATGTTAGGTGAATTTAATTTCTGTTTAGGCTGCAGGGTTTGGAATTCATCTAGGATCATTCATTTTGCCCCAATTTGTACAATTGCAAGAATTTTGATTCTTGGAGATTCTAAATTTGAAGCAGATGTGATGTTAGTGAAATATGGTCCACACATTGCTGATTTAAAGATGTACTATCACTAGAGAGTATTGACAGTATTTTGATAGTATTCTTATTGAAAAACCAAACAGATAGCTTAAAGTTGACTAAAAGCTGCACTGAGTTATATTTTTATTATCTCCTTATAATGTTTTTTGTTATTATGATTAGTATTTTTTTAAGATATACATTGTATGCAAGATTGTCAATGCACAGCATCACAACTGTTGCATTTAATTATGCCATGATGTTGTGCTTGCAGTTAGTTAATGGGCAATCATGTACTCTGTATCAGTGGAGGGACGCCTGTAGCATTGTAGAAGAAGTTGTCCAATTATTTATGTTCACTTCAATTGGAAGATGTTACCGACAATTCCAGGTAAGTTTGTTTCATACATTCATCAGCTGCACACTTCACCCTATAATAATGTTTCCTGTAAAGGAGGGAATTTTATATAATTATACTGTTGCCATATAAAAGGTAAAGGGCACTTATTTTTATGGAGGCAGGTTCTCATATAGGGATTCCTGCTCCAAGGTTTTCTCAGGCTTAGGAGAAAAAGACTTGGAAATAATTCTAATTTGCGACTTTGGTTTAATTAGTCATCGAGCTCATTGAAATTGTTAATGATGTAATATACAAAGTATATTGGAGTGTGCTCCATGTGTAAACTCAGAAATTCATGATTTAACCAACTTTGAGCTTGGAAAAACTACTTAAAAGAGTGCAGGGCACATCCTGTGAATCCTGGCAATACATTTGGCAACATTGCCAAGCCGAATTGACGGTCTGAAACCAAAGCCTCTCTGCTGCCTACATGCAGGTGCTGGTGGGGGAAGCGGCAGATTTCCCTGCTGATATCTCTGCTGGAGCACTTGGAGGTGGTAGGGGTCCCATTTCCCCCCTGCCGGTGAGGATCATCCTGGCATCTACCGACTGATCCATGGTATAGTGTCTGGATGCAAAGCAGTAGCCCGGTATCAGGCAGCCCACTTCACAGCATCGGGCAAGATGGCCAACACCATGCATATCTCTGTCCCACGAGGCCTGCAGGAACCGACTGCCTCACGGATTGAGATGATGTTTGCAGTGTTCTGGAGGAAGCTAGAGTGCCTACTCTGCCAGTCCGTGGATAAACCACAGAGTGAAAGCATGCCACCTGATGTATTACCTGTTTCTCGAGACACCACATCCAGGGTGAATTGAGGGAAAACCTCCCCAAGTCCTTGTTCGCGACAAAGGAGAAGACCGATCCGACCTCCCGCTGTCTGCTCGGTGCCAGGAGTGCTCACTACTCGCTACTACACTCCTAGGTCGAGAGCCTCAAGGGCATCCCCCCTGCTGTATGCCACATACCCTCAGAGAGCATGTCATTAACCCTCCTGGGGCTATGATCAGGGTGCCGTCAGTTGCAAGAATGAAATCAGTATAAGAGCTCTCACAGTGGCCTGTGACTGGCGTGATGGAGCAGACTGGGACACTTGGAAGATGTTGAGAGTTGGAGGTCGGAGACCAAGCATGGGTATTGGGTGACTTACATACCATAGAGCTTTTGCAGGCAGTGTCTGGTACAGTCACAGCTTCAGATATTTACTTACCTCTCTGATGCTGTCTTGTCCCTCTTGCTATGCCTGGGCTGTTGGCAGTGGCGGATCCAGAGCCTGATCTCGGGAGGGGCACTTGTAGATTATTTAATTAAATAATCCAGGCACAATAACCACTACCGGTCAGTGTAGTAGTTATGGTGTCAGCAGTGCCAGGATTCCACCCCAGAGTAAGTAGTCATACCGTTTAAGAACAGTTTGACAACTTACCTGGGGTCTGCTCTGATATAGGGTATAGGAGCAGTGGTGTGTGTTAAGGGTGAAGTGTGTGAGTGCGGCAGTGTATGTCAGGGTTGTAGTGTGTGTGTTAGGGGGCAGTGTATGTATGGGGGCACTGTATGTGTTTTTGGGGCAGTGTGTGTATGGGGGACAGTGTGTGTATTGGGACAGTATTTGTGGGGCAGTGTGTGTGTATGGGGACAGTGTGTGGGGCAGTGTGTGTATGTGGGGCAGTGTGTGTATGGGGACAGTGTGTGTATGGGGACAGTGTGTATATGGGGGCAGTGTGTGTATGGGGACAGTGTGTGTATGTGGGGCAGTGTGTGTATGGGGACAGTGTGTGTATGGGGACAGTGTATGTATGTGGGGCAGTGTATGTATGGGGACAGTGTGTGTATGGGGACAGTGTGTGTATGTGGGGCAGGGTGTGTA